GTTTGACCCCAGTACTCTTTCCTGCCATGGCAGGGGGTTGGACTCGATTTCTGCTCAGGTCCCTTCTGACCGTACAAACTATGAAACTATTATACTATGAAATCTAAATATTACGTTTAAATTAAATTGAAATATATTATAGATTTCATAGATTAAGGGTCGGAAGGGACCTAGTAGATCTTCTAGCCCGACCCCCCGCCAGGGCGGGAGAACAAAAAAACCCCAAAAAAAGAAACGGGACTCAAATGAGTCCAGCCAGGTAGGCATCCAGCCTCTTCTTAAAGACCCCCAGGGTAGGGGCCAGCACCACTTCCCTTGGAAGTTGGTTCCAGCTCCTAGCCGCCCTAACTGTGAAGTAGTTTTTGCGGATGTCCAATCTATACCTCCTCTCCATCAACTTGTGCCCATTGCTCCTTGTTATGCCAGCAGGCGCTAGGGGAAACAGCGTCTCCCCCAAACCCTTCTGGTCCCCCCTAGTGAGTCTATAGACGGTCACCAGGTCCCCCCTGGTATGTATATGCAATATGAATTGTAATTAATATCATAATTTATTATTAGCATTCTACAGAAAGTTTAGTAATACTAAATGATGCTAATCTTGATAGAAACCATTCATGTTAGTTGTTAAACATTAGCATGCAGTATCCACGCGTAGTTGCTGGCATCCTCTATCTCTCCAGTATCAGCACATGTCCATACACTGAGATCACTTGCTCTGCGTCCACTTGGAATGGGAAGGCAGCTTTTTACCAAGTTGTAGGGATATGGAAACCAATCAGAAACACTCCCAAAACGGTTACAGTCAATGGCATCTGGCACTCTGACAAAGTCCATGTAAGCAAAATGTTCCTTGTCATTCATGCTCTTTCTGTCCTCTGCAGGTTGATTATTTTATTTTATTTTATTTATTTATTTATTTTTTTCCCAGTAGCTGAGGGTCAAAACTTAGAAAAGGCACCTGATTGGGGTAAAAAAATCCAACAGCCCTAAAGGAGGCAAACAGTTGTTTAACCATGGTGGTAGTGACTAATCCAACCTATAGTACTGATTCAGTTTCACAGCTCTTACCTGGCATAGCTCTTGCTTTCTCTGCTGTTTTTCATGTTGATGGTTTGAAAGTTTTTGAGATGCCATGTCTTTGACCCAGCTTATCAAATCCATCAGCTTCTTGGCAGGCTTTGATCCACCAAAGCACACAACTTTCAAATCACATTAGAAGCTCTGTGAACTAGATTGCATTTTCAGCCACAAACTTAACTTGATCTCCAGTGTTGCCCTGTCTTAAGAGATCATGTAGTTTAAACATGCACTGTGCACTGGGTGTGATTTCTTTTTTTCAAGCTCTGTGAACACACATTGCTGGTAGTACTTCATATTCTTTGCATGGCAACAAACCGTGTTAAACCACAAATTCCACCTTGTAAGCACTGGCTCTGCTGCCAGTGACAGTCACATGTAGATCCCCCACTTTAATTGGCAGTGTATCAAAGCTTATGGCCAGGACAATGTTTGAATGCTTTTTTTTTTTTTTTTAAGGAGGAAACCAGGCTATCTAGGTCGGGAAAATGTATGCCCGAGATGTCACTTACTAAAGAAAGGATGTGTGCTTTGCAGGTGACATGATTTGCATTGGACATCATTCCATGGAGCACATCAGAGAGAGCTTTGCACATGTACATTGCATTATCAGGCAGAATTTAAGAAGCATTTCTAAGCTGTAGTTTACAACAGCCTGCACTACAGCTTGTGCCATGGTAGAAAACTTGACAGACATGAGATGAACTGTCTCTATTTGAAAAACAGTCAGGTTGCAGTCTGTCCAGCTCCCAGGTACAAATAAAATGTGCCGAACATGGTTATCTTGGGCATCTGTTGCTGCATCTGCTACAATCAAAAGTGATTCAGATTCTGCCAATGCAGACTTTGTAAACTGAACATGGGATGCAATTAGTCCTGGTAGATAAGCTTGGCAAAGCTTGTTTGCACATGGGAAACTGCCAGCATTGGCATGTGTTTTGTTAAGTAGTCCTTTGATTTAGGGTTATCAATTTTCTCCAGAGAAATGTTACATCCACGAGTGCAAATATAGCTCTCTCTTCTTGTCCAACTGCTTTCAGTGGTTCTTTTAAAGATCAAGGACAATAGTCTCTTGTTTCTTGCTCTGACCTTCAACCTCTGCACCAGCCTTTCACTTTATATGTAATTCAGATGTATTTCTTTAAATGCTGATCAATGCTATTTTTCTTTGACACATTGCACAGTCTTGTTGCACTATGAACAAAAGGATGTACCACCATTTGTATGCAAGGTACCTACAGGGAACTGCCTTACACAATCCTGAGCTGAAATGTATTCAGCTTTCTTGGATTTATTTTCACTCATCACCTTCAGGCTGTAGCACTGCATCTTCTTAAAAGATGGCGTCAAAGCCCTTTCACTTTCCTGACTGGCATCTTCACTGAGTGTGTCACTAGCTCAGCCTCTTAGTAGCACTCTCGCAAGCCACGTGCTCTCTGGCTGCAGGGATTGCTGCACTTTCTTTTGTATTCCAGAACGCTTGTATTTTGTTTCAGGCAACTCTGTGCAAAATCACTGGCAACACCATTTTTCATGGTGATTGCAGAAACTGTAGTTTTTCATGATTTCTGTGAAAATAGCAAAACCACAATTTAAGTAATCCCTAGTCATGGGATATTTCTGGCACATGGCAGGGTAATTTCCCCACAGTGAGTGCTTCAGAGTTCTGTTGGAGGAACTCAAAAGAGAATAACAGAAGTTAATAGTCATTTACATTAGCAGGAGACCAACCCTGTGATAAATCAAGACTTTTCTTCTATAACTTACTCCTGGGGGAGAAATTTAAATTTGAAATGTTGAGAGGGGCTTCAGGAAGAGAAGGCTTGTACAAGGGAGAGTTGGGACAAGGGCAAAACCAGCAAAGTAATCAAGGGTAAAATGGATCAGTACCTGGTCACCCATTTGTCTTGTTCTTCCATGGTCTTGCATAGTGCATGCCTGGATACTCAAGGCTGTTGCTGTCAGATTGGTTTTGTTGTGGGTGTAAGGTCCGGGAATAGCTGTTTGCACTGAAATACCTTGCTCGGGGTGTTAGGGGGATGTTCCCCTGTATACTTGTCTTGCAGAAACTACCATGATCCAATCATAAAGTCAAGTAATGACCTTGCTTGTCATTACAAATACCTTAGCAACTTTGCAGCTGTACTCTTGTTAATTCTGGGGTTAGGTTCCCATGTGCCCACTCAAGCCTTATTCATCTGACCTGGGTCAGGATTGCTGCTGTACTGGCTGCCTTATAATTTGTTGTCGTGTCTAATAGCTTCAATTTGTTCTCTGCATTGGAGGTTCAAGTAGATGTTATTTCCAACCATATTCAGTCAATAGAAACATGGTACAGAGCTCTGAACCTCACAGGATTTGGTCCTAGCAGCCCAAACATCTAAAACGTCCTTGTTTTGTAACTTAGAATTACATGAGTCCAAACATGATTACTGTGCAGGAAAAGGCTAAGTTTCCCTGTTGAGCAAGAAAACCTGGTTAATTAGATATTAAAGATGTAGAGTGATCATTTATTAATAGATACACTGAGGGAGAAACCAACCTGCTAAATTAGCCTGGTTCTTTATGAACATCAACATCTTATTAGAAGAACATGGTTTTTTCCTCCAAAAGTTGCGTCAAGTAGAAAATGCATTAAAGCACCTTCCTGTTGGTCTTGATGCAGGGACCAACCCATTCTAAAACTGTTGTAATGCAAGAGAGGTACTATAAAGGGGAGTTTCAAAGATACAGGGAGTAGCCCAACTGTGTAGCCTTTCATTTGTTCACTTGTTGCACTGCGTACATCAATAAAGATGGAAGCTTTGCATTCTTGGGAATAGGGGGAAATTTATAGATAATATGGGCATTAATACACGTTTTCATCCCACGACGCGCTGGAGATCCGCTGCTTTGGAGCAGACTTGATTAATCGCACATGAGCTGATGCAAACTGAACTTTCCTGTTGTTCCTTTTAACCATGATATCTACTCTGTATTCAGTGATGTTTATGTAGCTTTCAATTAAAATTGCCAGCCTGTTTGGTTTAGTTGTAGTGCAAAGGGAACTAGCTGCAAATTAAGAGCCAAAAAGGTTAGAACTGGAGCTAAAGTTTCTCCACATCTTGGGGGATGTGGATGTGGGAGATAGTCACTAGAGTTGAACTTGACCCAAAAAGTGACCGTAACCTACTAGGGTGGTGATTATCCATTATTCCCGTCACTCATTGGACCTTGAAGGTATTCGGCACTCTATGGGATAGAACTGTCTCATCAAACTCGTTCCACTCATGGTTTCTTTTATTGATATACTTGATATTTCTGAAAATGAGCCAGTTGTTAAGTTACAAGTTAAACTGTTTCATTTCAAATGGATTCATGACTCACTTTGAGCAAGCTTATTGAAATGAAATTAAATGAATCTTTTCTGAAATGCAGTATTTTAATAGGATACTTAAGGTCTTGCAAGTGTTTGGTTACTTATTTTTACCCCTTTTTTCTTTTATCAGGGTGGAAAGAAACCCTATCACGGGCCGTGTGGGGGCCGAGATTGCAGTGCGGGCTGCAGATGCTTTCCAGAGAAAGGTGCTCGTGTAAGTTGGCTGTTTTGCTAGCTAAAGAAAAACAGTCCTGGTGTCTCTTATCTTGCTTTTTCTGGGGGAAAAAAAAAGAACTAATGTTAAATATGCTTAAGATTCAGTCTAATGACTTCATGAGACGGGAGAAGTGATAAAGTTCAGCTGCATCCAACCCGTCTATGGCCAAGTTTTCAAAAACCATTTAGAAGGTTTATATTTGCTAGCTGTGCAAGAAGACATTAATGGAACTGGCTGATCTACCATGACATCTGAGTGCTATGCAGAATGTCAAACAGGCTTTATGTACATAAAACAAGATAGGTGATTGAAGTTTTAATTAATTGCGGTGGTGCTGGTTTCCATACAGACCTTTCCTGTCTCAGCTGTAAATGGTTCTATATGGTTGTCAATAAATGACTTTTGGCATGTTTTTGGGGTGGAGGAAATTCTGAATGTGTAGGAGGTTATGAAAATTTACTGTAGTCAGTCTGTCTCATGTTTGCCGAAACCCAATCCCAAAGCAAAGTAATTTGTACTGATTTTTGTCTTAGCTAAGGTTGTACCTGAGAGACTGTCGTGCTTGTATCTTGTTTTAGTTGGTTATTTCCTATCTTAAGATATAAAGCAGCTGCTGCTCTGACTTTTCCTTTGGTTATGTTAATTTTGCCCTAATCTTAATTGCCTAAGATAGCTTTGCATATATTAAAATGACATGGTATGATAAAAGGAGGGGTGTCAGAGTATTTGTTTTTTGAACACCTATGGAATTCAGCTGGAAGGTAGCCAGTGCTACTTCAAGGCACAGTGAGATCTGCCTCACTTCATGGTTAATGGAAATAAAGCAATTGATTTTGCTGAAAGCACATGTCTTTCTCCTGCATGTACTACCACATGACAGGAGTTTGCTACGTCATCTGGAAAAAAGTCAATTGTGGTGGCTGACTGGAATTTTCATTTGCCTGTCAGAATTTTTATGAACGTTGTTTCATAACCAAATGTGTATATACTTACATAATGGATTACATACTCGGCACTAACCGTAATTTCTATCTGATATCTGTCATAGTTGTTTCATAGTTGGTAGGGTCAGAAGGGACCTGAGCAGATCACCAAGTCCAACCCCTTGCCATGGGCAGGAAGGATGCTGGGGTCAAATGACACTGGCTAGGTGATTATCTAGCTTCCTTTTGAAGACCCCCAAGGTAGGAGCGAGCACCACTTCCCTTGGAAGTTGGTTCCAGATCCTAGCCGCCCTGACTGTGAAGTAGTGCCTCCTGATGTCTAGCCTGAACCTAGATAATTCCCATTATCTGTATTCATAACGGGAATATAGAATCCCCAATCTGAAAAAACTTTGACCTGTTTGCAGGGGAGGTGTAAAGCATCCTGGGATGCTGGGGACTGAGGGTTAAATTGAATCTGGAGGGGATCTCAGACAGAAGTTCAGTAAACCAGTAACACCTAAATCAGTTAAGTCTGATACTACATCCATCCAGGTTTATCTTAAACCAGTTTCAGCCGTTTTGAAAGAGGTTTATGTGCACTGAACTTCTGTTGTGTTACAAATTTGAATCAGTTTCTGATTACTTGTACTGGTTTAGGTGTTGTTTCTGTTGCTAGCCTAAATGTTTCTGAATTCTTCTATGTTTAACTGTTACTGCCAGTGCTGTGGTCAGCACCTTTGTAACATAGATGCAGCATTTAGCTCCAGCATCTCTCCCTGTACTGCATCTCATTATAAAACCGATGTAAAAAGAAACAATTAAGTGTCTGGAAAGCTCATTGAAGATCACCAACTGGATGAAAGGCACTTGAGATGGATAAACAACTATTAAAACACATCTCTTCTTGTGCAGCCTGTGGTGAAGAAGAAATAAAATGCAACTGTATGAAATGAGTGATTTCCCCTGCACTTGTTGCTTGTGATGCTATATAATAAAAGCAGGTGTAAACCTTGTTAATCTCGGTTTCGTTCTGAAGCATATCTTCTGAAACAGCTGACTGTAGCTCACCCCCCTACAATGCAGGCAAGCAAGTGCCCAATGTGAAACACAGTGCTTGGGAATACAGAGGATGTAGACTTTAAAACAGATCAAGGCAGCTGGAATTTAAAAACAGAATAAATATATATACAAAGAGAAAAATGGGTCTTTTTATGCAATGACTCGATCTTGCAAAATGCTTAGCATTCCTTCAAGGTATGTATTAAGGTGCTTCTCTTCTGTGAAAGGCAGGGGGATCTGAGCATGTGCAGCACCTTGTTTTTTATCTGATCCTTACTGACACCCCCAGGTCGTTCCTTGAACAGAGTGTTCCCAGAAATGCTCCAAGCCTTGGGCAGTGTTGAACATCATCCTCTGTCTCTTTTCATTCCCAGGGTTTGGTTTGATTGTTTGCACTGGCCGTGGCATTGTTGACCTTGCAGTTCAAGCTCTTGGTATGTCTTTTGTTGAGATGTCACAAAGGCTTTCGGCCGTTTTTATTGCAGACCTGAGAACTCATTTGGCTTTTTAACTTTGCTTCTTATGTGACCTAAACTTTGAGAAGTTTTCAGTGCTGTAGATGGAAAAGGACCCGGTCCTCTCACTGAGATCTGTGCATGGAGGGAGATTCTGCACAGGAAACCCCCCTCCCATACAGAAGGGCTGGAGAACAGCCTCCCATAGTGTTGTTTCTCCCAACCTCCCAATTTGCAAGTACTTCAAGACCCAGGACTCCAGTAAGGTGGGATTAAGACATGGTCAAGGGTGTCTGGAGTGCTAGCCTGTACCCCACAGTATCTTGGAGAAGATCATACAACCTGGGATGATTTCACTGGCCCCTGAGCTCACTGCTGAGGAACTGGCTGATGAAGGGTTTTGCTTGCATTGCTGCTGTTGATGTACAGTACCTTTTTTTGACAGATGAAGTGCATGTCTGACTGACATCTTTAGCTGGACCCTTGAAACAGAGGAAGCAAAGAAGGAAAAGAGAATGTATTACTCCCCAACCAGCTAATGGCCTAATGGAAAGAATACACGAGATACTTCATGCAGCTCCAACTTGGTGCATTGCTGATCAGATCAGCAGTGCACCAAGATCAGCACTGCTGATCTCATCTGTCTGTGCTTTTTTTATTTATATTTCTGTGTAGGTAGAAGAATATGTTTAAGAAATACCCAAGTTCCATTTGCTTCTGTTAAGAATCAGGCTCTTACCTGCCACTTCTCACAGTGGGTCTTAAGTTCCAAAGCCACTGTGACAGTGCTGAGAACTTTAATTATGTATTTTCCTTTGTCCTTTTAGAGGTACTGCTTTCTTAAAATTTAGAGGAGAAGATGCACAGACAGCAGCTATTTTTGCTTTCTTTATATCTTTTGTACCTTTTAAGGGAGCAACTCTGGAGCTGGGAGTTCCAATATATTCAAACTAGATCTTCCATGCTCAGAAATGAATCCAGATATTTAAGAAAAACCTCTGGTGCAGTGTGCACGTGAGCTCTTCTAGTAGCAAGTGTCAGATGTCACAATAATGTGAAAACACCTCTCCCTATGGTTTGCACTAGCTCTGGTCAGTTCATTGTGATGGACTTCCTTCTGTATATTGCTCATTGAGGTTTAATTAAGACCCAGTTATGTCATACCTAGAGAATAAACACTTGGTTGTGGGAGAGCCTTTCACCTCAATTAATAAGTCAAATCTACCTGTGTTTAGATAATGACTGAGGATGAAATCCTGGTTCCATTGAAGTTAACTGCAAAATTCCTTGGTGGGTGGGGAGGCACAGTTTCACTCTGAAAAGTGATGTTTGCTGAATGCGTAGTGACTGGAGCCAAGTTGTTAATTCATAGTGGACAGTTTAGTGAGTAATGCAAAATTAGTTAAAATCAAAACACATCAGCTAAGTCCTGGTTAAAAAATAAATAAATTTCTTTCTTTGGGTTTCATCCTAAGCCTTTTAATGTGAAAATAACCCCACTGGTCAGTATCTGTTTCACTTTGCTGCTTAATCTCCAGAGGCTTTGAGAGCCCCAAGTTGGAGCCTGGCTCTTTAGATAAAGTTGTAGGGATTCAGGCTTCTAGCTCTGAAGGTCCCTGATTTCCAGTCTTGTTAGCTATGAAGGCAGTTATCAAATAAATGCAAGGACAGTCTGTTTAAAAGGAGACCTGCTGTGCTCAATACTTATACAAATTGTGCTCTTTCGTTTGCATACAATCCAGTATTAATGCAGTTTGAACGTAGTTGCTGTACCTACATGCACAATTAATCATACTTTGCACACATTTAGGTAATCAGTTCCTCTTGTATTTTTGTATGTGTTTCCTTTAAAATTCTTTCAGAATATCAGTTAATGAAGCAAAGCCAATGCATGTGAAAATATATTGCAAAAGGAAAAAATATGGAAATCCTGATGCCTTAAGATAAAAATAACTTAATTCTGTAGACTGGAAAAAGTAATATATGAAACAAGAGTATCAAGAAAACATGCCTTTTTTAATTAAGAGATTTAAAGAGATCAAATTTTAATGAGTTTTTCATATTAAAAATAATGAAATGCCAATAGTTTTAATGTTCTCAGTTTGATAGGTGATTGCTCAGATAATATTTTAGCTGTAGTACTAAAGAACACCATGAGGAAATATACCATGTTAAAATAATTTTCACTCCTATTTTTCAGTACTTGACGTAGAGCTTTTGGGCAGGATTAGCCCCTGAGCTTTTGAAAAGTTCATTCCATATCAATGACTTTATTGCCAAGAGCTATATCCTTGCAGTAGAAATGGAAAGATTTTTCATAATTATATTGTTTCAAGCCTGGAAGCATTAAATAGTAGAAGGCCCATACCATTTTATCTCTACAGCTGATTTTGCATCCAGTTATGATTGTACTGGCTTGCTTGGTTTTATAGCCTGTCTTGTAATTTTTAACACTTGTAAAGATAAACTAGCAGCAGCACTGTTCACTGTACATATCCGATCTCTTGGTGCCTGCTCACTTATTGTGGACGTTATAACAATAATTGAACTTGCTTTA